ATATTCCTAGAACCGGTCAATATCTGCTCTTCATCCGAGTATGAGTATCATGGCGGCCAACATACTGGATAATGACGTTCTCGACACCGTTGACGATACGGAGACCCTTGCCCTTAATCACACCCTTGGTGCCCTCACCGACCAGGGACTTGTTCGAGTTGACAGTGATACCAAGAGAGCCGGCGTTATCGCTAGTGCGTATTAGCGAGACGCTAACACCCAGTATCATGCTTGTAGCAGACTTACTAGGTCACAGAGGTGGAGGGAGCGCTGGACTCGTAGTTGGTGCACCAGTCATCCTTGTTGATGGCCACCTGGCAGGCGGAGCCAGTACCCCAGGGAGCGCAACCAGTGCCTGTGGTGGTACCCTCAGTGTTGGTGAAGTCAAAGGTCTTGCTCAGAACGATCACACGGGCCTCATCGTCACCGAGATAGGAGACCAGCTCATCGGTAGTAGAGGGATAGACGGCGGTGGCACTGCCACCACCGGTAGCGCTAGATGCGAAGCCCTCCGCGGTGCCCGAGACACCAGCGGCCAAGGCCTGGGAGGCGAGGGCGGCAACGGTCGTGAGAACAGCAGCGTACTTCATCCTGGAAGTTTTTCGTTCGGGTTTGAGATGGTATTAAAGAAAGAGCGACAAGAACAGAGACAAAGGAAAGCAAAGAATGACAAAAGTGAGATTGCGTGCGTTGGGAAGGAGAACCAGAGGTCTTTCAGACCAGCAGAACTCATTCTTATACCTGATTTTCTTCAGCACCGCTTTCGATTCGGTCTTGTTAGGGAGTCTCACAGTGGGTGGGGAGATTAGTACACAATAGAGGGTTAATCCCGAACAGCCTCCACAGCCAGGGAAATGAATGAATGAACGAATCACCGTCGGGATGGACCAGGCACGGTACAATGTATACATGGTGAAGCCCTTGCCGATCCCTCCGGAGTCTACGTTGGTTTGGGTAGGTGATCGTCAGCATCAGTGAAACAACTCCACCACGGCCAACCGGTAAAATGTCGGTTCGGCATTGGGGCTCACACTGTTTGATATGGTGGTTTCAAGTAGATGGGTATTTCTCTGGCACATATTTTGCTGGTTCATTGGTGGAATCCAAGGTTGTCCGATAGGGGAAAATGCATGACGCGGCAGCTCCAGCACTAGTAAATTAAATTTGGCCACCTTCATGACTCGATCTCTTCTCCTGGCGGCGGATTATCACGATCAATTCTTGCGGGCGAGTCATTCAGAGGGTTTCTGCCATAGCAGAAACATGTTCGCCGGGAAATCGCCAGCGATCATGGCCACGGAGCGTTAAGTTTGGCGATGATCGTGGATATTTGTCGGAGAATTTTTGTTGCTGCTGTGAGGTCCCATTTAGGGCTGGTCCACATCCGCCCCAACCAAGCCACCATCTTAAAGCCCGCAGGAACCAAGGCAATTTCCACTATGGGATGATTTATAAATTGACAAGAAATAGAGCTGACTTGGGCTTGGTCTTTTAAGCTTAATCTACCATTTAATATACGCTCTTCCAATGGGAGCGCGGGCCCGTCCCCGTTATCTCCCTGTGGGAGCAGACTCTCCCGTTCTCGCTGCTATGGTTATTTATTAACGTGGATATCAATCTATCCACATTGAAGTATGACCAGATAGGCATTCTAGAAGACGTGATTCATTGAACGAGCCCAGGGGGTCTCTCAGCATATCCAACGCCGCCGACAGGGTGTTACGCATGTCTAGATGAAACACGGTCTAAAATGTCGATGCTATTACTGACTGTGACTCCAAAAGCGACGAGTTCTAGACTCACCGCCCACTTGGAGTGTATTAGTATATTGGGGGATACCCGTATAAGCGTGTGCTGCCACGCAACTATGACAGCACCTCCTGCATAGTACGCTACCGATTTGTCCTTACTCCGTACATTGGCTGGTCGACCCAAGTTTCCAACATACATCCCGAGAGGAGGTAATCCGATCTCCTCCGATTATCAAAAGGCTCCACTGAAATGGGCCAGGATATTGTAGTAATGTTTATACGAGGAGCAGCGGCTGAGGGTATACAAAACTCATGGACTGACCACAATTTCCGGTTGTTTTGGTCTAAGTATTTTTTTTTTTTTTCGTTTTCCTGTTTTCATTCTTCTTGATACAGGCACTTAGGTACCTGATCGATATGGTATGATTAGGCTGAGTATATAATGGTTCTCCACAGCAACTACTATCATCGAGCAGCCTTTACAGGAGCTACTCAACCAATGAGAGTTTCAGACGTAAATGACATGCCTACGAAGGATTTATTAAGGGATATGACACATTGATGACAAAGCTTATCCTGACATCGAGCTCTTACACAATTAACAAAACCAGGAGATGATGGTATCATTGATCGCTCCTTGCGCAGCGAAAACGGCTTTGTTCCACAAGCCTCGACATGGATGTAAAGCACGGCATTACCCTGTAAATGATGAGAAGGTAGAAGGCATCATGCCAGACTCCGATAATCATAGTACTGGTCAAGATTTCGGGGTATGCTTCTGACTATGTACACTACTGTTCAAAAATCCACCACCTCTATTCAATACGAGTGCAGGGTGGTTGACAAAGCCTCCCACTCTTTCACACCAACACCGGCATATTGTCCCTGAGCACCGGATGCGACTAAGATTGCGCGGATTGCGACAGTATCCACCGTTTCAAACGCTATCACGTTGGGCGTATCGGTCACTTCCAGGGGATACGATGAGGTGTTCGCAGCCCGTTGCCATGTCCCAGAACCATCCTTGTATTCGATGTACCATTCCTGGGGAGGTGCAACACCTTCGTTAGCTCCAGCAGCATGGTCAGCGAAGAACGCCATAGATGTACCATTAAGCTGGACCGTTTCATTCCAAGAATAAACGAGCGTGCTCGTTCGGGGGGAGTCTACTGCCTCGTAGGAGCTCCAATAGTCTGGTGGTAAGGGGTTCGCTCGAATGATTCCATCGTTCAAGGCCTGTACCCAGTATTGAATCGGCGTTGGGTTTACAGAACTTGCTACCGCCTGGGGAGCCACATTGTATGTGGGCGGGACTGGCGGTTTGGGCGCGAATGTCTGTTGCACACCATTGATTTTGGCAGGGGTTTTGCTATCATCCCAGGTGAGTTTATCAAAGGCAACACTACGGCGAAAGTGACCTCCTCCAATGGCGTCGGCCGTGTGGTACACTAGATACCATTCATCGTTCCATTCAACTGCTCCCGGGTGAGAAGTAGTTGAGGATACAATCGGGAGAATTACGTCCTGGAACGTCCAGGGGCCCATTGGAGACGACGCAGTTCCGTAGGCTATACATGCATGATACGAGGTTGGTGTACAGGGTGAATCAGACCCAGCATTGTTTGCTGCAAACAACATGTAGTACACGTCCCGCCTCTTCATCAACCAGGGCGCCTCAAAGTAACCCGTCAGGCTGGTCACTTGCGTCACATTCGATGTCACTGTAACCATATCCGGGTCCAGTCGGTAACCAAGAAGCTGCCCAAAAGTTCCGAAGTAGATGTACACATGTCCGTCATCGTCGACAAGTACGGTTGGATCGATATTCTGGATGGTATTGCCAGGTGGTGGAACCGACTGGGAGATGATCGGGCCCGAGGGGTGAGCATCCTGGAAAGGGCCCGTTGGCGAGTCCGAGACGGCCACGCCGATCGCAAATGCATCTTCATTGGTGCTATCGGCCTGGGTCACCGGAGCGTACATGTAGAATCGGCTATCATGACCTTGGACAACTTGCGCCGCATACGCGCTGCCGGGAGCGGCCCACGCAAACACTGCCCGAGGGTCCGCGACGTCGGGATACAACGTCCACGCACCCCCATCTGGCTTTGCGGATGATGAGACGAACATCCCCCATTGGTTCATCACGAAGGCATTCTCATCCGGAGGCGCGCTGTCGTGTCCCGTGAGAATATAGAGCGTGTCATTGACGACGAACGGGGCAGGATCGCCGGAGTACCACGACCCATTGGACAAGATCGGATTGCCATTGGAAGTAAATGAGAACGGTGAAGAGCTATCTACCTTCGCTGCCACAGCGGCGGCACAAATTGCCAACTTGATCAGCAGCAGAAGCATTGTTTGTGAGGCGCCAGAGGCCGTGCCGTTGGTCTGACGTGCTGACCAGTACTTAGTTCCAAACTTTATACAGCTTCTACCCATGGTCTCCAAGGAGGACTGGGAAGAAGAGCGAAATTAACCGACGGGACCAGGTACTAACCGAGCCATGAAACAACCCCTGCAAGTCTCAATGTCCACCTCTAGGGGTTCGGGTTTTCCCAGATCCACCAATAAAATTCCGAAGAGATTTCTCATTCATGTGGGTGGGATATGAGTAAAGGTGATAGCAGTGAGGGTTACATGAGAGAGAGAATTCAAGAAGATCAAATAAATGAATAACTCTGGCTGTCTTTCGGTCTATTATCCATATATGTTATCGTGACACTGCAAAGGAAGTTCCCCTCGAGAGTATGTGGTTTATGTGCTGCAAGATATATATATGAGTACTTGGTTATTGAAGGACCCTCACATATGTCTGGACTTACCGTAACAAATCGATTGCACTGCCTTGGGAGTCCTATCTTGGAGAACTATGTCTAAGAGTGTAAGCCTATACTTGTCCATGAGATTGTGGTCCTTTTGATGTCTTGTTTGTTGATGCGTGACTTTTGTTTGTGGTAGTGGCGTGCATTGCGTGGTTGCCCCAGGCAGGACGGAACGTGACCGAGAGGCACGGGACGTTGCGTGCGAGAAGCTCCCCATCGTTGTTGCGCCGTCCTTAGAGCTCACACTCGTTACGCCAATGCATTGTTGTGATCGCACGGCCAATGCTGAGAGTATAGAGCTACAAACCACAATATACGGGCGCGGCGATAGATTGGAGAGTCTGGGGCTACCGAGTGTGATTGTTCTCTAAAGCTACCCTTCGTCACCTTATATGGCTTACAACACAGCAGAATCTCTCCTTCTTTACTGTTTGGCCACCGTGACGGTCACGGAGCCTCCCGATAGCTCAACCGCCACACCTCCCCTTGTCTGCTCCCCGTTGGTCGTGACTGCGTACGCGTCGTTTGAGCCAGGATTCTCAACCCATACAATCGCTGTGGTCGTATTGGATAACCCTCCGACAAGCTTCAATTCCAGCGAGATTGGTTGGGCAGCGGAGAATGAGAATTCCTCGATTTGGCCGGCACTTATCGTGACGTAGACACCCATTGACGCAACATATACACGTCGCCGGACGGCATCACGCGGTTGCACAGTCACTGTGTCGCTCTCCACAGACAGATTGCCACCGTATGCTATGATGCCGACGTCAGGGTCATCGACGATGTATGTACCAGCGCCCAGCATCATTCCGAGGAAGTTAGGACCGTAGTCTCCGGAATAGTCGTCGCCCTTGAGAGTATCGGGAAATGAGTGGAACGCGTTGTACATCGAGCCGTCCTTCCTGATATTGCTGAACGGGCCAGTGATTCCGCCGTACCCAACCCGGAGGAGATATGTATCGGTCGGGTTTTGTCGAAACTCAGCGAGAAGGGGCAATGCATTGAGGCTCGAACCATAGTGATGAATCATGCGTTCAATCCGTTGAAGCTTCCCGGCATAGCTAGAGGATGTTAGTAGTGGAACGACACATGGGGAACCGAGTCCTACATGAAATCCCAGTAACGTCGGGCGTTCCCATTCCAGCCCCAATGAGACACCGTCGGCATCAAACCCAGGATACTATTGATGGTCTTCGTCGTGGTCTGCGTGAGATTGAAATAACTTTGCTCGTCGCCAATGTTAGCTTCCGGGCAAGAGGATACCGCAAGGAAATCCTGCGCAAGAAGAGGCAGAGAGAGAAGAGTGACTTACTTGCTCCAGTAATAAACGCCCTCCTGACCCGTGCAATCCCACGCCATTTCACTTCCAAAGGGCTCCGACTGCGAGTCCCACGCTTCCGCGCGAAGTTTCATGGCGGCCTCTACCGCGTCCGCCTCTTGGGTCCATCCTTCACGTTGCAGGTCTGCCAGGAGCTCCCCGACAACAGTTTCTCCCATTAGGCCCAGGCGTGAGTAACCAACCAGGCCGTCCCCGGCAGAATTTGTCGCAAAACACGTTACGGTCGTATTGTAAGCTTGGCCCAGGTACCACTGCCACGGGTGCACCTTGAGAAGCGTCGGGTTGTCGCGGCCGACGCGATACAATGACCAATATGCTCCAATAACGTGGATGTAGTCATACGCACGATCGGTGGAGTATGATGCCTCCTTATTCCAAGACCACCAATTTCCCCAGTCGATACTGCTGCTGTATTCATAACTCGGGAGTTGATCTGGGTCGTAGTAGAAGACGCTCTTACGAACCGTAAAATCGGTGTTTTGAATGGTGCCAAAAAGCACTTTGGACGCAAATTCTTCTAGCTTTGCCACCTCCTCCGCGTTGGGAAGGCCGTGCTCTTTCATCGTGGAAGCAAGAAATATGGCGCCGCCTTCGTCCATGAGTCCAGCAATCCAAACTCGCGCCTCTTGAAGCACTTGTGCTTTGGCAGCCGCGTCATACGTGATCACAGAGGGTGCCCGACCAAAGGGGTCGTTCTCGTCGTCAAACCACATGGCAGTGGTTGAGAAGTCACCCAACTTGGAGATCACGTCTGGGGCAGTGTCCGTGATGAAGTAGTGCACTGTCTGGGTTTTTCCGTCCGCGTAGGAGATGGTGATCTTGGTCCTTCCCCAGGCTGATTCGGTGGGCGAAAGGGAAACTAGGTTGGATGAAGGGCGTGCTATGTCGAAGGCATTGTTGTCGGATACGATCTTGGAGACATTGGCCGAGTGAAAGATGAACAGCTGTGCCGTTAGATCGCGGGGAACGACATATCCTGTTCCTATGGTCAATGGAGTGTTTGTCCCCTGGACAGCTTTTTGAATTCCGCGCACCCCATCCTTCACCACGGAGAAGCGAAGGCCTACCGTGGTGGATTCCCCAGGTTTGAGACTGCGCGCGGTTGGTTCATTCCAGGGAGCCACCTCGGCCCATTCCTTCTCAGCATATGCCTTTGAATGAGTCTGCCACTCATAGAACCCTTCAAATGTTTGGCTACCGTACCCGGTGTACTGGTCAGATACCTCCTCGAGGTTGCGCCAGGCTTCGAAAGGGGTGCTCGTGTTGTCCAATGGAGTGATAATCAAGGCTGGACCCTGTCCGGAGGTTGGACTGAATTGTAGATAGCCGGCATCCAGCCCAATGTACGGGTCCACGAGGGAGCATTGCGCTGTGACTTCGTCCGCGGTGCGATTTGTAAATATACTGTTGGACTCAATCGGGAAGCCCAGGCTGCCGATTTCTACGCTACTATTGCCCTTATTCGTGATGGTGAAGCTCAGTCCTAAGTCTCCATCGACGTCCAACCATTGGCGAACAATTTGTAGAGCAGAGCTGGCAGACAACGTGGGTGTTAGATCGGCTGCGGCGAGCGCATCGGCGTCGAGTGACTTTACAACGGCTCGAGTCTGGGAGGAATCACCGGCAGTCCATTCGCTATCCCCCACCGCGCGATACCGGAAGGTGATGTCTCCAATATGGTACTGACCGTTGGCTGCTCGGTACGGCAAGTAATCGGACGGTAAGAAGTCAAAGGATGATCCGGATGGCTTGAGCGACGCTAGGATCTGGGCGTCCGTGACGAGCCGAAGGTCGAAGTTGTCAGTCTTCAGATTGGTATAACCATTCGCGAGGCCTAAATCATCACTCTGACCCCGAACGAGGAAGGCCGAGGCAGAGATCAGTGCCAGCGACGTATAGAAGCGTAAGAACCCCATTGCGCAAATGGCGACGAGTAAGCATTTCACGCCCGTCACTCACAGCGCGCACGCCACATTCAAATATGCTTCCCCTGACGATACGGGTTTGAAGGCGCCCCTAGGCAGCACTTGACATCATGGCTGGGTTCAATTAGGGTAGTTTTCCTGAGGGGAAATTGCCCAGTGTCCGACCTGCATAAGCGCACTTCAGCTTCGCATCCCGTTGATATGCAGATTCGCCGATTGGTGGACACGATGGATTCAGGGGCAGATATAGTGAGACATCTCGCTGTAACCCTGATCAATCTCGCATCATCTGATTGATTTCCTTGAACTCGAGCGGATAGCAAGTTCCTTTAAAGTGCGGAGACAGATGGTTGCATTGACAGTCGGATAGCCACAAACTCCTATTAACCGATGCATGCGCCGATCACTTTTCTCCGCACGGGCTTGCGACCGCAGGATGAGAAAGGCATGGCTCCACCGGAGCATGGGCATCCTAATACATACTTACCAAGAATGCGACCGTTGAAAAACCAAGAATCTCCAGACATAGAGAACCGATAACTGATCTTCAAGACGCCGTATCTGAGGCTACATCAATTCAACTTTTATCGCTGCAACTTATGTCCAACCAGGTGTCGACTTTTTTACCATGCTTTTCAAGCAGATGACACACTCCCAAGAGCTATTCCAGGGGCGATACAGTGATTACCGGGCCCACTATGCAGGGCAGATCGCTGAACCGAACAGTTGGATTGTTGCAGGTCAGAGGTACGGTTTCCCTCGAGACCCCCAGTGCCCTGCCCTGGGTTCCTCTTCCATCTACGCGTTTTCAACGTGACAATTGATGCAGCCAAGGCTTTAATCAGCTGTACTATCTATCGTACAAACTAGCACCATTGTGTCAACCGTTATTAAGTCGACCTGAGCTTGTAGTATGAGGCCGGTAATCGTGGACTATTAGCACTGGTATCTGCTACGCTACTCACATTGACCTGAGTGCTGACAACAATGTTTCCCCTACCATTATGGCAAAGCTCCTCCTCCGAGTCTGCGTGCGAAACGTTGGTAGCGCCTTGTTTCAGTCTCTGGACAATGCTGCTTTTGATCATCCTCCTATTTCCGCGGGCTTTTGAAGTCGTTCCCAGTTCGTACGAAGATTGCTTCCGACCGCTTGAGCCGTACAAGGTTCCTGAAACATGTGTCCTCCAGACGGATCGGAGAGAGGGCATGTTGGCTGTCATGATTGCTGTGCAAAGCTCAATTGTCGTGACGATCGCAACGGAGCCGTAGACGTAAAAGGTCCTGGAGCCGCTGGCCAGTTGCACAAGCACGATGAAGCGGAGAAGGGACACCAGAATTGTGCTCCCACCGACAGTAAAACAGACAATCAGTCCCACTCGTCGCCGTGCAGACATCTGTAGAGTCCATAGGGGATAGATTGGCAGAATGTAGATGAGGAGATCAGTCAAGACGTTCTATGAGGTGGGATGCTATCAGAACTCCGAGCCTAGCCGGCAGCTTTTCCGGATATTGTTTCAGCTCACCATGCTTGCAGGGAAGTACAGCGTTACTGCCGTGGGGATACACTGCGCATTTGGATGGGCCTCCGGATGGAAGAAGGCATCCAACGGAAGACATTGCAGCGCGTAAAAAAGCAGAACAGCCAAGGTCTGCGCCGAGGTGAAGGCCATCACTCCATATACGATCTTTTTGTACAACGGCGAGATACTCAATACTCGAAGATAGAAGGTCAAAAAGGACATCTTGATCAGCCATTGGCAGAAGATATACACGAATTCAATGACGAAGAGAAGCTTTCAGATGGGTAAGCGAGTGGGACGTACGGCTCATTATGGCCGACTTACCGTCACAATCTTTAGCAAGTTTTCGGGTGGAACATCTTTATCCTGTCTATTATACGGAGGGTCTGTGAGTATGACAAGCAACTATCCTCAAGAACGGTCAACTTACTTTCCTCCTCCAAACCTAATCATCTGCCCCAAGATGCCCTGGTTGACGAGCCATGTTATCTACCACTGTTAGTACTGAGTCTTCAACGAAAGGGAAGAGAACCAACACTCGCAGCTACCATAAACCAGTCGTCGGCACCGAAAGACTTGGAGAGGCAGAGACGAGAGTATATTCGAAGGATACATGACAAGCTGGTGATGACTACGAATGGCATCGACACTGCCCAAGTCATGGGCTGCAAGTTCTCGTTGATCCCCATTCCGTGATGGTCTTATCACCTGAAAGGCCCCATGAGTCGCACTGGCAGATATAAAGTCGAATAACGATGGGCGTCTCGTTGCGTCTTTCTCTCTCTCTGCTTCCTGCTTATTTCCTACGTCCCGTCGGCATTTGATCCCGCAGAGGAGAGTGAACCAGCTAGGACTACATCATCGATGAAGTGGGGCTTTTCGAGTTTGGCTGACAGTAGCGTCCTGTCATGGAATTTAGCGCGTAGATGCTCCTTTTTAAAAGAAGTCAAGTCTCACCCCTTTTACCTACTGAGGTTTTTGTTGCCTCTATTCCGATAGGGTAGTAAGTAGTCCCCATGCCCACTTTGCTTCTGCCAAGGCATTCAACTAGAGTACGCTATTAATGAGAGGACTAGCCTTAAAGAGTTCTCGCTCTAGCTTCATACTCTAAAGTCTACTATCAAAGGATTTTCGACGCGTAAGAAGGAACCAACAACGGCTCCTGAGGTTCGAGACAAATTCGGCGCAGTTCAAGATTTAAGGCGCTTACATGCTTTAGGATGGCCTTCACTACGGGTCAATTATTCTGCACACGATATTGTATGTCAGTATGGACGCACTATGCCTCTGGGATGGAGCACAGGACGAAGGAGTATTGCCGTTAGCAACGATGCTGTGGGGATCGTCTTTGTTTCATTCGTTTTGTCGACTTTCTCAACTTCATCCACAAACCCCACTTGGTGTTTCTTCTCATTGGAGTGGTTCCTAGATAGGGTCCACACGGGATATTCGCGGTCCTCGCCTGGCCTCCCCTGGCGTGCAAAGATAGCAGACTCGGACGTTTGCCGCACGTACGGTAGAAGACGGCACAGATGTTTGGGTAACGGCTGGCTAGCTTCCGCAGGAGATGATCTGCATACTCATGCATCTACGCCAACCGACCACTGGTCCCGTCTTCTTGAATGGGCAATGAGCGGATCAGTCGTTTCGGTGGCATATCAAGGACAATTTGATTGTGTTAAAAACAACAATTACAATGAAGATGGTATGGGTGATACTGGAACACTATACTAGCCGAGAGGTTCGCTGTTCAATAACCTAGTTGTTCTAATGGCATATTGTCCCTTGAGCATGAACCCTAGCTCTAGGAGAAAGACCGAGGCGGGTCGGTGGCCACATCATTGATCTTTACGATCCACAGTACTCCGTAATCTGTGACCTGTATAATACATGAGTGTCATCTAGTCCGCATACAAAAGTACTGCATGGAAGGATCATGATCCTAGGCAAAGTGGCGCTTAATATAGTCTGATAAGGCCGCAAACCCGTCGAGGCCCACCGGCTATCGTATGAATATTGTAGAAGGATGCACTAACCCATGGTCAGCTTCACCGAATCCACTCTCCAGGGTCATTCAAGGTTCTCCCCGCAACCTTGGTTGCCACCGTTGTCCTAATAGCTCCTATGGTTTGGCGACGTACGTGTGTTAAATATAGTCAGCCTCCAGTCACGGAGTGTGGTTAAGGTTAACACTCTAAACTTAAGTTATGTAAAGGCTTGGGGTCCACTGCAGTGTCTTCAACAGTAGGGGAGCCTAAAGAAATCCCATACTCCATGCTCTGTGTGATCTGAACACAACGACTCTCCCTGAAGTTCTGCTGTAATGTTGCCCAAACCATGGTCAATTAGCAGATAATGTCTGGCCACGCCGTTCACTCTACTATTGCATGTCATCTCCACAAGCCGAACGATCCCCGGCGTATTCTGACGGTCCGGCAGGCGCAAACCAGCTTCTAATTACTTGGCATGTAAGTGACAGCTTTGGGTATCGGCCTAATCACACCCCTGGATTCGGAGGAGGCTTGATTGGGATAACTAGACGATAGACATCCAATCATCCCTTACAAATGCTGGTCCACCTAATGCCTGCAGTCATATGTGTCACACGCCCAAGCTTAAGCTTTGATATCACGGTTTCAACGCCCGATGCCTTTTCTCGCTCCATTCATCGGTAATAGAAACATTTATAGTGTATCCTTAGGCACAACCATTGGTTAGGGCTCTCGGCATTTGAGCTGGATGCATGCTGTGTTTAATGCATAGCCACGCTGTTAATAACCCTGAAGACCCATCACTAGTTCAGTCATGGCTATTGCTCTTCCCTGGAAAATCTTACATATTGTTTTGCTTACTTTCATGTAAATCCTGGACTACTTTACTATCGGACAAGCCATGGCTACCAGTGCAGTGAGTGCCCAACAGCTCGCAGAAGCCAAAGCCAAATTCAAGCAGGACGGATGGGCCGTCGTCCCTGATGTGATCGATGTCGAAAAAACAAAGGAGGTTGTTGATCGCCTTTGGAAGGCAAAGGAAGAGAGTGAACGACGAGGCGATCCAACCTACCTCGACTGGCTTGATCCCAACTCCAGCAACGTCCGTATATTCTACCTGATGGAACTGGATCCTATTTTCCGCCAGCTAATCTCACACCCTGTCGCTGTGGAGATGGTTCAATTCGCATTGGGCCAAAACTTCCTTGTCTCCAACTTCACAGCAAACATTGCACTGCCCGGATCCAAGTCTATGGGCCTACACTCCGATCTCTCCCTGCAGTGCCCCGATCCTTGGTTGTCGACTTGGGGCTTGAACGTGATCTGGTGTTTGCATGATGTTTACTACAAGAACGGCGCCACTTTGTATATCCCCGGTAGCCATCGTTGGAAGACGAAGGCGGAGGTGCCCTCAGATGAGGAGGCAAGGAAGCTCCTAGTGCCATTCGAGGCCAAGGCTGGGTCAATCATCGTGATGGACGGGCGCCTCTGGCACACGTCCGGTTGCAATATCACTGAGGATAAACAGCGGGCGCTTTTGTTCGGGGCCTACAATGCCCCCTTCCTAAGGGGCCAGGTGAACTGGGGTGTTGGGCTGTCGGAGGAAACGAAGAAGACCCTGAGTCCTCAGCTCCGGGAATGGCTAGGAGTTAATCGGGACGGCAATCTTGGGGTCGTGACAGGAGTCAATGATGTCTTTGCTGAGTGTGCTGCTCCTCCTGCCCATCCGTGATCATATACTTTCCGTTCCGCGTAGATGTTGTAGTTATGAAGTTGGAGAAATGAGATTGATATCCCCATCCTACCACTGCCATCTTTGAGGTCGTAGCGGGAACACCTATTCCTGGTCTACTTTTGAGATTATACGGCCGAAACACTAGGAGGATTTATGTATGAAAGAGAAAATAGCACAGAGAGCAGGATTAAGAAGCTATGTGAATCGTATAAGGGTATCCAACACTGGCTGGCTATAGCCCCAGAGCACGTCTATTTACAAAAGCCACCTTCTAAAATAGTTCGTTTCGTCAGGTCATCGCTTATCCAGCCTTCGACCAGCGCTACTGTATCTCCGACAAGTTTGTCATAATATGTACGCTGAGGAAGAAACATTGACTGATGAGCCGTGATCTCGTCAATGCCCTCCATCTGCACTGGAATCCACAGGTGCTCTTTGCCATTGAATATATTTTTCGGAAGGTAGCAGAACTGTCGGCGAGCTGCCTGGGACTGATTAGGCCTCTCACAGCCCATTTCAGGGTTCTCATCTTGGCCACCCGTTACGGCGCTTTGCACAACGGTCCTCACAGAAGACTCTAAATGCAAGGATGAATGCTGGCCACTACTTGATTGAGGACATATGTCCTGCTTTCTCCGCAACAATCCAGCAGAGTCAACTAAACCGTGTGGCGATGATTTCCGCCGAGCATGGCCGGGTTTGTGATCCATTTCGAGTATATTCGTTGCATCTTCCAAGTTCCCCTGCCAATTGTATTTACGAAGGTCCTCATTTCTGACTATGCGAGTTGGAAATGAGTTGCCTGTTCCACCTGCCCTTATTGTCCCCGTACTCTTGGTGAAGTAATTTACGAATCGGACTCGCGAAGCACCACGGCTCTGAGCCTGGGAATCTCGACTAAACTCGTCGATTGCCTCCAGCTTCATCAGTCGTTTATGCCTCTTGAAGAGCTCGGGGTAGTTGTTCATACACCCAGCGTGGTCATAATATGAATAAGCATACTGCAGAATCGACCTCGATAAGTGGTGCGAGTACTTCGAAATGAAATGCCATGCGCCATCCCAGCCATTCCATTGCGTTAGTTTCACATCATTCTGAAAGGCGGGGTTGAACGTAGTGTCCGGACTAGAGATACTCTCATTTATAGATGCAACTGAATTGGTTGTGTCGCTAGTTTCTTCCGGTTTGTGGCGGAAGAGTCTCCCAATTCCAGTGGTCACTACGCGAGGATGTAGCCCAAAGAAGGGCACATCAAAGTTGACCAGTCCCAATATCCGATGATTCAGCCTCGTGTCCGGCACAAGCCTGGTTGCAGACTGTATTGGCATTAGTGCAACCTCTGCGGCGACGATGCCTCCCAGGCTGTGGCCCAAGAGAATAACATCTAAGTCTGGAGCTTCATGGGGCGAAATCCTGGGAATGCTCAGTATAGATCAGTTAATATCAGTTGTACTCGCCCGGCTATCTCACCATTGGCTAAAATTGTCCCGGGCTATATGCACAGGTCCCCGAGTCTTATACCGAGGATAGATCTTCGTATAGACCACATGGGTCTCACGTAACGATATTGTCAAAAGATCATGAACATGTTTGGGAAAATCATGGAAGCTTTCTTCGGATCCAACGAATCCATGAATGTAAACCATGAGTAGTCTACGTTTCCCCTCGTTGGTGCCTTTGTCAGAGTGGCTCAGGGCTAGGGAAGTTGTGGAGCCATGATATCGACTCTGCCCGATCGTAGTATCTACTCCGAGCCCTGGCGTAAGTAAACCTGGAGATCGCTCGGTATTTTGAATCACAGCAGAGTCATTGGGTGGGTTGTTTTCTAAAGGGCGATGGGGAACTGGTATGTTCGGGTTCTCAGCGGATGACATGGCGTTGCAGCTTTCCGGATGATTGAATTATTTCCCGACTGCAACCGTAACAACCGTCGTAAAACTTCCAAATGGTCTTTCATGTACTTGATTCTGAGTGAGTTGCATAGCAGTTACACTACAGCAGCGACATATGTGGTGAGAAAGTCGCTGTTGATTAGGCTGCCATGTGGCTTTGAAGCTCGTACTCGTATTCTCCCCAAGCCTCGAACGGGTCCACTTGCGATGCTGAGATTGACGAATAAAGATCCCATCGGATGCTTGGCAAAGGACTCTAATCTAAAAAAAGCACCTAGCTAGACAAGGGATGTCTTGCATGGGCTAGGCGGATCTCTGAATCCTGGACGAACTTGTGCGTTGGGCCTGTTTCTTAGTATGTACTTACTTTCGACCTACCAAGAAAGGAAAAAAATGGTACGAAATGGAAAAGAATACTGGCGCTTAGAAAAGCTCAGCAGCCCACCTCACTTGTATCTCTTTTGAGTAGAGAACCCAGTCAGCGGGCAATTTGGTGAAGGGCTGCATGTCAATTGAGGCCACTACTACTGTTTGTGGTAAAATGAATCACGAATCTGCTGGTCGAGAATCTTCCTATCGGCATGCACAGCTCGAATTAATGCGTGCGCAGACCCCGTTCTTCGAACCCTAGAAGTGGTAGGCATATCTGGAGAAAAAATATGTACTTCAACTGGTTATTACTCTATACAAATTATTAACCATATTATACATCTTAACGGGGATCACTCCAGAGGGGGTCAATGAGATATACTAGACCATGAGCTGCAGCCGCAGCGAGAGGAGCCACCTGTAGATGCCCTCGTCAGTATAAAGCCGTTTGATGATCGCCGGAATCGAACATACCCAATGAACCCAATGATAGCCGGGGAACTCCGACGCGACATAAACGCCAAAGCAACGTGCTGGATTGAGACCTGATCAAGCCGTTAGTGCAGTCCCTCCCTGACGGTTCTCTCCGGTCAAGCTTACTAGCTCCAATATAACCCGGCCGCGTGAAGGCAGTCGCCCAACAGACCACGCCCAGTACGACACCAACCAACCAAGGCCCTGCGGCATGCCCGAAGATTTTCGCCTGACGGGGATCCAGGGCCACGCCAAACGCGAGGAAGATCAACACTAAGCAGGCGAAGAACTCGATGATGAGGGCGGCGTTCACCGGCACTAGGGAGGTGTCCACATGGCAACCTCCGACGGTGAAATCCCGGGATCCGTAGGCCGTGTGTATGGCGAATCCCGCTAGCGCGCCCCCAAGGGTCTGGCCTGCCATGTATAGGATCGCCCGAGGGAACGAGATAATCCGCGCGAACAACGTGGCTAGAGTGATGGTGGGACTAATGTGGCCGCCGCTCGACGGCGCAAAGGTATAGATGAGCAACGGCGTCAACAGGAGATTGGTGATCCCGCCGAACAGGGGCGAAAAGAAGGTCAGCGTATGGTAGATGCCCACTTCGGTTTTTGGGGCTTCGACGGCGGCGGGCGCATGGAGGGTGACCCATGCTGAGATAAAGACGTTCATCATGCTGGCTGCCATGCGACCCAAGTTAGTGAACGTCCACTACGAGTACGGCAAGGGCCCACGATCATCAGTCAACGCACCAATGCATTCCAGGAAAGCGAACTTCCAGAGATCCAAACTCAAAAATCCACGCAGGTCCAAGATTTCGCTCAGCGACATCCATGGAGCCGCGTCTGGCACCTTCTCCAGGACCTTATCATTGCGCGGATCACTGCGATCTACTACAAAATCCTGGTTCCCTCCCAGTCGTCCAGCGAAGGGAGCCACCGCAGGAGTCAATTTGGTCTGCGGCTCGTGCCCCTCGTATTCAGGGAGATAGGGCATCACCATGTTGCCAGTAATCGAATTACCCTTACTCAACTGGGTGTGGCTCAAAGATAAGAAGGAAGGGAACAAGGGGGAGATAAGACTACATTTTAATTCTCTGGAAGTAAGATACAAGATAGCTCTGTCAGACTCGGTTAGAGACTACGCGGTGGCAGAGGACAAGTCGAGCCTCCGAGTCGTCTCGGAAATGCACCTCTGCATGCATGGCGTAGCGATGGACGACTCGGCAATCCGACGTCGCTGCATGGGTGTGGGGCCGCTTTGCACGATAAGAATGCAGTTTTAACTATGTTCTGGAATTGATTTGCAAATATGGTTTGTCGAAACAAATCCCAGTGGCCACTCAGACACGGGGAAGGAGATCGATAGCTGGATTCCACCTCCGGGTCCTCCACTAGGGCTAGGAGATAAAATATGGGTCCTCTCGGTAAAATCGCAACCAGGGAGGTCTAAACTCTTTCCCGGCTCAAATGCGTTGCCCCTTGGCATATATCGTGCCTGGTTCCGCTCCCTGCTGACCCGGGAGGCGACCCCCATGCGGAGAGGACGTTGGCGATGGGAGATGTCTGGACGCTGGACGTCTTTCTGCGTGAGATGCAACCCATCCTCGAACAGGCTGGTATCTGCACGGGATCCGGCACTTGCCGCAGAGTTTAAGCGAGCCGACATCCGATCGTTGGCCCAGAATTCGCCACGGGGAGAAGGGGCAAACTCATCGTTTTGACCAGGAGGAAGCTCCTATTTCTTTGGCGTAGACATGTTCAACACCTTTTAACCCCGTCCTCGCACAAGGCAATCGGACGTAGTGACTTTGTTTACGTTCGTAGAGCATGGATACTTCTAGTTGGACGAGGCGGACTCTGTTCTGTCGCACTTAGGGCTGGCTGGCAGTGTTCTACTGGACAGAATATTCCCTGAGCACTATTAATAGCCGTATTTAACAAATTGAACCGATCTTCGGACCTTCGCATTCTCTTCGCATCACGAGATCCGTTCCCCATCGGAAATCTTCGGGTTGCCAATAATCTGGGCTCAGCGTTGACCTGGTCTAGATCGCGGGCCCTAAATGCTTTCGCTGCGCTATTATGAACCATCCCAGGTGGAAGGATATGCATGTTCGGATTCCAGAATGCCCTTCCTACAGTCCTTGCGATATTAAGGCTACTCGGGCTCATTGAGCACGTCTGCATGTCGAACAGATCTGGCATATCTAGTTGCGACCGTACGTAGGTGGAGCTGGGACTTTTAGAAGCTCGGAGTTAAGGCACTTATAAGCAGACTGGTAGAGATTGTGGAGTGATATGGTGTCAGAATAACGCCGTTTCCTGCATATACCGAAGTTCTTCTGCCGTGAAATGAACTAACGATGTTCGATTCTCTCCTTGACCCACATGGTTCATCCACCCGATCTTTGATAACGATCTTGATGTCATTTCCATGTGTAATATCCAGATGCTGAACGTAGGATGTACTAACTTCGCACCCTCTCAAGGAAACGGCACTCCCTGCAATCCACCGGCCCAAGCCTTGTGCACGGATAGTAAATCTATGGTTTTTTGGAGTCGGGCGGAAATGCTGGGAGTCCATTTCCGTAGAGCCGAATGAATCCAGGTTGGAGTTGTTTGTGCGTCCAAATTCCTCCAACCCCGGCGAAAGCCATGATTCCCGATGGATAGCTCATACACATCATAAGTGAAGGGTGCTTCGAGTGCATTGGCATATGATTCATTCCAAGCCTTTCTTCTCCTGAGCCGGGAACCGTGAGTGGGGAATTTCAAAAAAACTAGGAGTTATGCAGAGTGACGTTAGACTTGGCGAATGTGTGAATACATCCCCTTCACTAAATGAATGAATTCAAGTGCTCATCCCTCATTCAATAATTCCCGTGCTTGAATGGCCTGGCGACGGACAAGATGGAAACGCTACCTGACGACCGAGACGCCACAGACGCTCGTTCAGGAACATCCACACGACGAAAGGATGGATCCTGGCCAAGCCCACCGACACAGTAGTCGACACACGCTACTCAATGTAGAGGAGGCACATATCCTGCGACTATGCGATAGCTTGACCCTCATTAGATCTCTTCCTGCCTTCCCACAGTGCACCAAACAATATGGGATACCTATGAGTTGTCCGCTGCTTGGCAGGAAACGCTTTGCAATGGAGACCGCACAACCACTCTATAGAAGCTCATCTATGGAACGCTCCACGTAGTACTTTTAGGCTGGAGTAAATGAGTCGAAGTCCTTTAGCCCTGCATTGACGACTACGCCTTGGGATATCCTTCAGTTTGAGCACAATGGGGGCACGGGGATCATCAAAGCCCCTACCTAGCCCTAGACATGGAATCACTACGTGTCGTGTCAGGAATCGCTTCCTAAGCTTGGGGGAGATACTCCGTGGTGTTCAATCATTCGAAGATGGTTTTGCATATCGTTCATATTATCGATATCGGAAACATGTGCAGCAGCATACAGTCATGCTGATTGGGAAATGGCAATTATCCTCGGTTACTTGCAAGGGGTTCTATTCGACAGCTTTAACAGCAATTACTATATGCAATGCTACCCCAAGCTCAGTAGCAGCGTCATTATGCGGCTAGATTTCTGAACCTCTATACAGTTCGATATTACGGCGTCGCCTGATGATTTTTATCGTGATTCGCGAACCCGTGCGAAAGTCCAATGACTCATATCGTATGCTACAGGATTTCTTCGTTGTCACGTTTGTACACAATATTGTACAGCTAATACGGCTTTATTCCAGAGCGGACGGCTTCATAAATACTGCTGAGTGGTCGCTTTACACTTGAGACATATATCTGGTGGCGCGTCCAGGGGATGTGGTGTATGCCTGGAGAGTATGAAAGACTGTCAATCTGAATGATGATACAGGAAGGTATCGATGTCCGTTAATATGGGTCATGGCACAAGGATATGCAACGTTGCGGAATGTATGATAATGCCCTCCGTTGGACAATTTGCTGTGATCTTCGAGGACATGCCCTCGAGTGGCTTTAGGCCAACATCCTTGATGATTGGATGTTATAGTTAGGCGAAATGATATTGAAACAAGATCCAATCGTCTCCTTAAACGTGACTCGACTTGCACCATACCAGACACCGAAGGACGACAGTTTCAATTCCACTGGGGCTGGTCATTTCTCACTCACTGTTCTTTGCCAGAACTTTTGATCTGCTGGGAAAAGATTCTCGCCGGCATTTGGCCTTTGTGGCTCACTTCTACCGCAATTTACGTGTGACCGTTCTAGATCAACGTTGGTTCGTAATGAGGCTTGTTTGTTTGAGGCAGTATTATTTGCATTTCATGTCAGGGAGTAGTATGTGGTAGCCCCTAATGATATGCTAGTTTAGCCTTGGAGAGGCAGGCCTATATACATGTATGCAAACAGATATCTCATCGCTCAAATCACATACTCTATGCAGGACAGGTCACAAGACGCAATGGGACAGCTAGTATCCTTTCTCCAGTGCAGAGCAACCAAGAGTCTCGCCTTCCTTTCTTAGGAATGCCACTATACCTGGTGTCGGGGGGCCGGATGGTGTCGAGTGATTGACTTGGGTATGTTTTTCGTTCATCGAGATGTCGCAGTAATAGGATTTTCCAACCTCACCCTTTCTTGTGATCGGAACCCATTCGAGCCAGGATCTGGTGTCTCCTCCCCTCCCTGATCGGAATAGTTGTAGCCCAGGATATCCTATACCCCCGTTCGGCTGAAGTACCCTCCAAGTCTGGACAGTCAATTTAGGTCGTCCAGTGACAGTAAGAAAGACCTATCACTTAAATCTTCTCGATACAAGCCCAACTGCTCCATTCCACGCAGAAACGGTCGATTTTGCAACCATGACCTCGACAAGACTACTGTTTGATGCCGACTAGCCAAACCATAGCGACAACGTATACGACGTCGAGATAGTATCGCCGAGCGCGACCAATTATACGAAGACGCAAGCCGACCCGGCAAACCGATAACTCCTGTCCCAGAAAACCCCCTGTGGCCGAAGATGGACGGTGATGGTCGTCTTGGGATGTTCGTTTCTGCCAACAATCAGCAGTAAATGCACAACCCAACACGAAGAAACAATGCTTTCGGACTTTATGAATGGCTCGGTGAAAGCAAGGAGAAGACACAAACAAAGAAAAGAGAGAGAAAGAAAACCAGTAGAACAACAGATGAAAAAAAATGAAAAAAAAGAAAAAACAAAGGTGCCCA